CTTTGCTGATGGACTTCTCCTTTTGGGTCCTCTTTGGGAAATGACAACTGGTTGTAGATGGGAAGATCCTAGAATGCACGGTTGTGGAGGAGATACTCCATGACTTTAAGGGGCCCCTAGATTATGGGGAGGAATGGTAACTCCTATTGCAGCAGGCATAAAACCATCTTCTTTCTTCAACACTGTCCCCAAATTTCCAAAACCAAACTCAATTGAGCCCTCAACTGAGTGTTCTCTTCCTTCAAGAGTTCTTGTCCGCATACCAAATCCTGCATGTCTAGCAGTAAAAACCCCATCTATTTTTTTTTCATCTCGTCCAATTCCCCACGAAGTTCTTCCATAACTTGAATCTGATCATGGAGCGGCGAGAAGTCAATATTTGCAGTTCTGAAAAGAAAACACCGGGTCTGAATATGGATTCCCCATTCTGAGTACCTTCTGAGTACCTGTTATGGATGCATGAAGATGCATGATGTGAGTGAGAGAATTCTCTTTCTGATATGATTTGGACACCACAGTCTCCAGATTGATCTTGCCTTGGACCTTGTCTCTAGATGACGTACCATCTTCAATCGAATGGTCAGTTGCCCCAGAATAATATGCGTAGAAGATTCTTTCAGGAGAAAAAATGAATGCTTTACCAAGCAAATCAATATAAACTACATGATCAGGCATATTGCACCATAAAAAAATACAATTTGTCTTCTATCAGAACAAAAGAGACATCCACCTGGTGAAAAAGAGTGTGGCAGTTCGCCAAATAGGAATTGGATCTTCGGAAGAGACTCCAAATAGGTGCTTGGCTTTATATTTCAACCCCTTTGTAGTCTTTAATATCAAAATCGGGTACCCCAGAATAGGGGATGCATCTAGCCTGTGTATGGCAAGCAGAAGAGTTGTTTGTGGGAGGAGGACCCCAAAAATCAGAGCTAGGAAGAGCTGGGAATAATAGGATGTAATGCATTGGGCTCGCATCAACATGCTCATCAGGATTCTTCTTTATTTGCTTAAAAGCTTTTCCCCATGAATTCACTTGGGGAATAAAGACTGGTTGCTGTTGAACAAATTAGGGAACACAAAGTTGTGGAGGATGCCCCTGATTAAAAAGTTTGATGCCTCGGTGTGGCAACCACATCTGACGTTGGTCAATAAAAATGAAGCACTGATATAAAATCCTATAGAAAATGGGAACCATCTGCTGATAAGATGTTCCAAGAACTCAGGATTGCGTAGCGCTTCATGGTTGAAAGCAATTTTCAAAAGGTGAGGAGAAGAGAGAATCTGCTATGGCAGTAGGTGCGAGATTGTTGACATCATTATCAGAGCTTTCATGACCTGACTTATATGACTCCTTAATCAATTATGTTCCTTCTCGAAGAATTCTAGACCACGGGACAAAGCTTGCTTGTATACCACACGAAGTTATTCCCTAACTGATCCCTGAACATGTGGAGCAAGAAATCAAGTTGAACCTCTGAGGAGAGCACTATGTCTGAATAAGAATCCTCAATCTTCGAGTATCTGTTATGGATGCATGAATATACATGGGGTGCATGAATGGATTCCATGTCATGTTCCTTCATTTTCAAGGAATTTACGTGCTTTGGTTTTAATTTTATGTAAGTAAAAGATATAAAAGATTGGCACAAGGCTTACAAATATGATTCCTTGGAAATAATAGAACATGTATGTTAAGTATGTGGTTAACCATGTTATGTATGAAAATACATGAGATCAAATGGGGTCAAGGTTCCATCATTTCTAAATATGATTGTTGCACTGTTCTGAATCATATGAGTATCATTAGGTCAAAGGTTTGTCATAGCTTCCGCACATATAAGAACCAAGTACCATGTAGATCTCCCCTTGTACGGGGTCGAGGCTTCTGGAACATCGGATACTGTTGAGCATTTTCTGAATATGCTGGGAATGCCAAGATCGAAGGCCTGAATGAACCTCCAAGTATACAAATCAGGAACTCAGACAATAAACCCGAGAACCATACGGTTACTAATAGAACACCATCTGCATAAGTCAGTGACAGAAATCCAGAACATAGCCATTAAAACCAATAGCCACTGTCTGAGCATAGTCACCATCTGAACATGAGTAACCATCTGAACATAGTCACCAACTGTACTTGTAATAATAAATCCCTCCCCACTCACGAGTGAAGACTAGGTTAGGGTAAGGCAAGCGTAACTCGAAGATCATGGGTTCGTTTGAAAGTAGAATCATCGCAACACAGACGTGCATGATGAAAATACCTTCAATTGAACCTCATCCGAGCATGGTATGTAACATGACTGCACTAATCGGACCATGTCCTATATCCGTCATGCCCCCACTATATTCCTAGTGTCCTAGTGCACTCTGGCCTGGGTACTGGGCCTTTTACCTCAATAGTAACACCCACCCAACATGGAAAACCAGAATCCAGCACAGCAGATAACCAATATGGAAAGCAATAAAATACAATGCAAACATATGCTCAGATAAATATGTACAAATGAATAAACTGAAAGCATAAAAATAAACACCCAAAGAAAAGAAAAACAAGAGCTAGGATCGACTCCGGGGTGGACCAGCATTTGGTCGACCTGTCCCTAGTGAAGTCGTCAGTTGAAACAACCGGCTGAAAATCATCAAAAAATGAAGTCGCCATCAAACGTTTTTTTATCCCACATGTAGGGAAAGGTAAACATTGAGAAAACCAGAGAAGGGAGAAATCACGGTCTTGCGACTGAGAGATAAGGGTAAGGGAGTCTATTACGCGAGGGGAAGGTATTAGCATCCCACACGCCCGTAGTACTCTACGGTATCCACTCTTGTTGTCTATCTTATGGGTGTGTTCAATCTATGCTTACTATTTATTACTGCTAAAGGGAGAATGCATGCAAAAGGAATGAGAAAAGAATGTAGGGAAAATAATAGTTGTGCTCGTTCGGGCCCTACCCCGATGCCTACGTATCCCGTTTAAGGAATCAAAGCAGCCGTAGTTCGGCTCATATGTTTTTGTTGGTTTGTATTTTTTTATGAACAATATTAATTTCGCCTTCTTCCGCAACTCGACCTTCGAAGACTTACGCGTTAGCACATAAGTGAATTAACATGTTCTTTTGAAAAAGTTTGGAGAAAAGGTGCTTGGGCGCACAAAAAGGTTTGAATTGGTTTGTGTTTTTAATGAACAATATTAATTTCGCCTTCTGCCGCAACTCGACCTTTGGAGACTTACGCGTCAGCACAGAAGTGAATTAACACGCTCTTTTGAAAAGTTTTTGAAAGAAAAGCCCGTAGGCAAAATAGTTTGTATTGGTTGGTGTTTTTGCTTGTGGATAACAACTAGTTAATCTCAAGAGAGAGATATTAGCCATTTCTCTACTTATTCATGAAATAACTCTTTGAGACTTGAACCACACCAAAGCTTAGAATAAGAGAATATTAAGGTCGAGAAGAAACCCGCTTATCGTCTCACATACTTAACGAAGATATGATTCTCGTCAGTAAATTTTTAGTATTTTGAAGTTTGTAAAAAAAAGAAGTTTTTGTTTTAGTGCAAATGCAAAAGAAAAAGAAAACATCTAAGGGAGACTAACCTAGATCTATCCCTAATGTTATCATACAATGATGGTCTTATGGTTGAGTTTTGAAGGGAAATCTCTACCCTAAGTGGACATGCTTGGATAATAATCCTAATGTATATCTCAACTCATCATCTTTAGATGAATCAAGAAGTCCTAAAGGAGCATGTCGAGGGTATATCATCTCAAAGCATGCACACAAAGGTGAAATCAAACAAACAAGACAATAAGCTCAAGAGAGCGCATCTAGAGAGATCCTATCTAGGCTAGCATACCAAAGAAAGTCTAACAAAACTATCCTGTAGGGAACATGCAATGAGAGAGAAGTCGTGATCTCAATTTCTAAATTGAATAACTCATCGATCAATAAGAAAGTAAACATACACAAGCACAACATATATAGTAAATGAAGTGCAGAATGCCTGCTACAGGTCTTTAAACAGCGACTTCGAGCGCACGCTCTTTATTTCCTACTTCTCATGATATCTAGAAAGCTGTAAAATGTGACATGAGATAAACAAGGGAAAATACCAAACGGATATCAATCCGTAGCAAGACGTATCGAAACAAAGAAACCCGAAGATCTTCGCGAAAACTTCACCAATCCAGGAAAAGAGTAAAAAATAAAACGCTCGGAATAAGTGTCGAAGCATCATCGAAGTGAAAATAAATCACAATCAAAATCTCAAGCACATCCGCATATCACACAATAAACCTACATAAGACTCAAATCTCAACAAGCCGAGGTGAATCACAAATTTCAAATAATCGGATAACCATGAATTAATTCCTAAAAAAAAATCTAAATTTTTTTTATATTTGATTTTTTTATCATGTAAAAAAGTTCAAATAAAACTAAACAATTATCAAAATTGTCCAACAAAAATACAAATAGCAAAAAGCAGGGGGGTGCAATCTGTAAGCAAGATATGTTGTAGTAAATGAGGCGTTAAGGCCCAAACTGGAGTCTACTAAGCCTTTTTGTATCAATTCCTCCAGTCTTCATAAAAAAATAAATCATGATGGGCTTAGATGACCATTTGCACAGAAGCCCAAGAGATCACATGTTCAGTCCATGGAATTATCTTCAACAAGACAAGGCGACTAATCTTGCAGCATTATCATTCAATTATCAAAACAAAATTAATTTAAGAGAAAAAAAATAAAATAGAAAAAAATGCAGCTTTTGAGAGAAAGATAAGGTTCAGTGGCCTTTGATCTTCTCTTCAACATTATCTCACTTTCCTTTTCTCTTTTCTCCGTCTAAACTACAGCGGTGAGATTTCGCCGCCGCAATCACCACCATAACATCTTAAACCACCCGCGCTCTTAATTTAATCACACCCCGGCCTAAATCATCATATCAATTTCTCACAAAAATCTAAGACTAGGTCGAATCAATGAAGTATCTTCAGAGCCCTAAATCAGAAAGATCTGAACAGAGATACCGAACCTTGACGCAACGATGAAATCTACGGCCACCGTGGCCAAGGTATTCTCTAAATATTTCTTTTGATCCTCCCTAATCACCTTCTTCCACTTCTTCTTTGATTTCGTGCTTTCTGCGCTTTCTGTGCTTTTTGCAGGAAATTCAGCTGCGTTGAGATCTGTTGAAAACGCGATGAAGACGATGTTGTTGCAAAGAGCTTGCAACGAATATGATGATGGCAATTGTTGCAGTTTAAGATGAAGCCAAGAGGATGATAGGGCTTGAAGAGAAAAGGGCAGATGATTCAAGAATTTGTGATGATGGAGATGAAACAGAATGAACCAGTGAAGAGGATTGAGATGATGCGGATTTGTTGATGAAGATTTGTGGTGCTGGAGATCTTGATGATGAAACTGATGAGTTAAAAATGAAGGTTCAGAAGGTGATGAAGTTGCTGAAGTAGGACGTTGATGCGGATGCAGGGAGTTATGGTATTGAAGATCTCAGAGAAAGATGAAAATATGCAATGAAGAATCAGTGTTTCTTCTATGAAGATTGACGGAAGAAGATGAAGATGAAGGTGAGAGAAAATGAAGATTGAAGAGGGAGTATTTTCTGTGATTTTTCTTCTGTGGACTTTTTGAATGAAATCCCCTCCCCCCATAATCAAGGTGAGCAATTCTCTTTTTGTACCTCTGTTAGTCTGTTAGAGCTGAATTAATCTGAACCCTTGGTTTTGAGAGACTCAGTTAGTGAATGAATGGTGAGATGAGAGTTGGTTACACAGGTTTTCAATTCAGTTAGCAATCTGTTAACACTGTCATGAATTATGTTGGAAACTGCTGAACTGTAAAACTGTTTCCTCATTTTCTGATATATTTTTCCTGTGAAATATATGATACCCTTTATTTTTTCTCTGCATTTCCTACTGAACCGAAAACTATATTTATGTTTTTCTGTTATATGAATAAACCGGGTTTGGATTTGGTTATTCATTAAATTTTTTATTTTTGATTTTATACTTTCCGAACATTTCTTGAATTGGATAATGGATGCTTCAAATATTGCACTTTTCTTAATCTCGGGCTGTGATTGATGATATGCTTTCCCTATTGAACTTGGATGAAACTAGTAACAGGCTACCACCAAAAGCAGGGGTACGGCTTGAACACTTGTTTATGCTCGCCACACAGGTGAAAGACTATTGAAATGCTTGAATGCAAACTGACTTATTCTTGCATTTATGTAGGTCTATGGTGAACCAATACCAAGGTTATAATTGAATTAGCATAACTTGAAAGGCATGGCTAATCGAAAATGGAAATATGTTTGAAGAGGCATAGCATGAAGCAACTCGAGGGAATTGAAGTTAACTCGGGAAAAATAGGTTTAGGATAGATTTTATTATGGCTTTTGATGTAATATATTCATGAATTGGATTGAAATTGTCACTTTTTATATGGAATTTTGAATGGTTGAAAGTGTATGAAGAATGTTATTCGAATTTTTAACTTGTAATTTTATCTCAAAAATATATGCTCCTTACGTATCTCCATAGCCGAAAGCAACATAAGGTGAAGGCATGTTTCCATTTTTCAATGTGCCTTGGCGAATGTAACGAGACAATCCCTCAGGATAGATTTTCAAATTGTGATAAACTTTGAATCAAAGGTGAACTTGAATGAACCATGGTGGTTTTTGCAACCTGCAACTTGTATTTCATATGTATTTCCTTCAAATCTTAACTTGGAACACAAATGAAACTTGGATGAATAATTCTAAACCAATCTTCAATTAACAAAACCAGTCAATTGGTATCCATTTTCCTTGCGAGCAACAAGCATAACAATGAACCCACAAACTTGTTCTTTGAATCATGATTTAATATTTTGAAGTTCAATCTATAAGCCTTTGACTTGATAACCAGTGATCTCACAAAGTACCATGTCTTGAAGAAAACTTTAATTTCAATTCCCACCTCCAAGCTAACTTGCAATACAAGCGATCAAACAATTGAGAACGATAATGCCCTTGATCATAATGAATTCACAACACCCTCCTTATATTATGTCTCGCTATCCATCGAAATACCCAATGAAAAATGTCGAGTGACCTAAGTATAATAGGATATAAACCCTAACCTCCCTGAAGTATACATTGCATGAAGAAGCAACTTAACATAAAAGCCATACCTCATAACCTTGATTCCTCAATTCAGATGCACAGAGAAATATCCAGATGAAATATCTTCGGACCATGATTTGACAAAACCTAGATTGGTTAACTGACGAGTGGATGAATGCCATGTCATAGTCATTAATCCTGATCAAATGATCAGCACACTTATCTGAAGAGACGTCTTGATTCAAGGACTACGTATGCTAGGTCCCGCCCTTGAATTCTTGACAAAAAACCTGCACCCAGTTCTTCATCAGAAGATAATACCCTTGTTGCTTGAGTTTGAAGAAGTCCAAAAATGAGCAGGAATCAAAACCCTAATTCCACTGTCTTGTACACCAAGAAGAAACAGAATAATCAACCTTATTCAATCATATACACCTCAAATCAATCATAAACCCTAGATTTATAGCTGTTAATCTTTTGAACCTCAGATGCTCTTTTAAATGCAATGCATGCTATGTTAGTGACCTAATGGAAGATATGTGAATGAATGCGAAGGTCTAAGCCAAATAAAAGAAATTAGGAGGACAAATTTTAGGGTGCAACACCTTTGTCCAAGATTTAATTCCATAAATGGCACAAAGTTGTCATTTCCATTTTAGTAAAGCACAACTTTTGCATTTGTCAACTCCTTGAGCTTTGCACCTGTTCTTTCTGCACACACAAACCCTATAAACCAAAAGCAATGTGTCAAAGACTTGTACCAACTCAGACCAGGCCTGTACAAGCACATAGAGAGTTGTCTCCTCACTTTTCTTCAAAATCAAGAAATAGAGCAAAAAGTCTATAACTCAAATCTGGAGGAAGCTTGAGGTCTAACCTTTTCTATACTTATACACAAACATATTGTGGCTTAGAGGACGATTGCTAAAGCTTAGAAATTCTCCCAAACTCTCTATCACCAAAAACCTACCATAACTTGCAGGTGTGCACCAAGCATAGCAATCTCAAAAACCACTCGTGAATTTGAAGTTCTAATCACCTAAACACTTAACCTACATCATATCTAAGTGTTCCAGACCATCATCCCTTCACTGTAACTCCTCCTTCTCCATCTGCCATTTTTGCATTTCAAGCTTGTAGGTTGACTCGAGTAGGGAGATTCAGGAACCTTCAAGGCAAAGTAAGGATTGGAACATGCTCAGGGAGGTCCAGGCAAGCTAAACAGATCCTCAGGCCTTCTCAAAACTCACTCAAACTCCATTCACGATCTCAACTGAAAGAGGTAAAAACTCTAACTTCTATCTCTTCATACAGGCATCCTTTGGTCTCGATTTGTGAAAATAAAATGTAGATATCTTTGTACTAAAGCCAACCATGTTCATAGATCTCATTTATATTCATTGTGTATAGAGAATTTTAGATTTGAAATTTCTGTAAAAATTAGGTTTGAAATTAGGGCCAGTAAAATTAGCTTTGGTCTTTAACTTTTAGTTTACATGAGTTACATGTTTGAAATCGTGGGAAGGAGTACTATCATTTTCATGTTGGAAGTTTCCATTTTCATGGAGAAATGAGGGAGATACAGGTGGTTCGGTTGGCTAGCGGAAGAAGATGAAGTACAGGGCAACGAAGCGTTTTATGTTATGTATTTTTAGTTTCATTTGAACTAACGGATGTACAGCCACCCCAGTGGCAAGGTAGCGTGCAAAAATTGCTAAGGTCATGGGTTCGAGCCTTGGCACCTGCCTTTTGCATTTTTCTCACATTTTTTGCCATTTTTTGTCACTTTGCAGTGCTGGGCTTTTTGTGTCATTGGGCCTTGTGATTTTTTTTCTAACATGCTACCTCCTGATTACTCAGGACACCCCTGGCCCATTTATTTTCATTTATTTATTTTATTTTGCTTTACTTCATTAAATATATTTTTCTTAAATATTATAAAATCTTAAGAAATATAAAAATGTTAAATATTTTATTTTGTTTATTTTATTTTTATTTTCTCATAAAAAATATTTTTATTTAGTTATATATTAACTATTTTTCTTAATAAACTTATAAATAAAAATAGAATTAGGTTAATAATTATTTCTTTTTTCTCACACTTATAAATATTTATTTTGACATGTAAAAGGACCAAAATACTTCATAAATACTATTTATTATCTCTAAGACAACAATACAAAAAAATACTTAAAGAATTTTATTTTCTTTTAAAAAATTAGAATTAGGGTTAATCAATTTCTAAGAAATAATTTCCTTTTCTTAAATTATTAGGTTTAGTTCAAAACTCTTTTTTTCATATAAAAAACAAAACAAAAATCTTTTTCTTGCATATACATATCTTTGCATATTTAATTTATATTGTATATATTCCAATATTTATACAAATTCGATTTGGTTGTAATAGATTAATTAGGTTTATATTATTGCAATCCCCATTCATAATTTGTATACCCCCCTCCTATAAAATGTTGTAATAGCGTAGTAATCTTTAAATTATGCAATTTATCGCTTTTACATAACATGTTAGTAATTAGGGTTTGTATGGCAAGATAAAAACAATCAAATAGAAAACCCTAATCCAAGATAAAATCAACATGAAAATAGCACACTTGCACACAAGCACCGTTAGGGTTATTCCAGTTGGCTGCCTTATACAAAAATGGCCATATTACGCATGTGAAGTATCTTAGCAAAACAAACAAATATAAGATCATAGCCCCTCGATGACGCTATTCAAAGTTCCCTTACAAAATGATCTTGGTCCCTCAAAAATGCTAAGATACTTTGCAACATTGCTAATCATGGTTATACGATGACCCACGACCGTCCCGTTAACATCCAAAGATAGGGTTTCTTATCAAATCAATGATAAGACAACAATATCAAAGGAAAAAGAAAATGAACAAGAAAGACATTTGAGTAGGTAGATTACTTCTAGTTACTTGCTCCATTTCAAAACAACTACCCTTTCTATTTTCAAAACAAACACACACATTTCCAAACATCTTACAAACATTGAAAACATTTTCAAAAAGAAAAATATCTTTGTATACATTCTTACGAACGAGAATCATTACAAAGATTGCCTAAACAATATCCTCTTTTACAAAATACTTTCAAAACCACACAAAGCACAATTTCAAAACAAAAGTAAGTGATCTAGTAAGTAACTAAGAGCCCATGGAAAACCATGGATGAAAAGGATGCTAATACCTTCCCTTTTCATAATCTACCCCCCGAACGCAAGAAACAATCTCAAAGGTCTTTCCTGTGCTTTTTCACCTTTCCTTATTGGATAAAAGAAAAGTCGGTGGCGACTCTTGCTAACCACAACATTTGCAATAAAACGAAAAGCCTCAAGTCAGTTCTCCCACCGTATCACATAAGGCATCACAAGTTTCTGAGCACGAGCTCGTACCCACCTAAGATAAGGCTCATGGGGAATGGAATTCTTGTGTCCCAGCATTTTACAATCCATTTTTTTTACCATCCTCCAAGCTCGTACAAACCTCTGACGGTAGCCTTGATCGTCGCTCTCGTAGTCGAATACCACTCCTTGGATGGGCATATCATGCAGACCATCTCTTCGGGTGTAACTAAACTGTCGCAAAGCTAAGAAAGGGTTGTAAGTGATACCTCCTCTAATGCCAATCAAAGGGACATTAGGAAATTCCCCATAACGGTCAATGATAGTAACATTCTCCAAGGATCAAGAACACCAATGAATATCCGAATGTATGAGCGTCATCAACCTATGGGACTACCTCAAACCTTGCTCGTTCTTCAACACAGACCGGGGAAGATGCGAAATAAACCATTTATCCAAGAGAGGAGTGAAACACATGAGGGCCCCTCTCTTCCTCATAATGCGAGTATGGAGAGAATGTAGGATATCTCCCAACAAAGTAGGAAGCAGATTACGAGACATGAAGATTTTGATAGCATTTACATCTATAAGTTGGTCAGGGTTTGGAAACAAAACCATCCCATAGATGAGAAGGGCCAAGATTTCTTCAAAAGCTTGTAGATCCAAAGAGTTCCAACAATTGTGAGCTTTCTCAAACAAGAACTTGGCTAAGAAACCTTTGACACCACTCCTTGTTTCCCAATTAGTCATGACATCAGATTGTTGCAAGTGTAGAGCTCGGGCAATCTCTTCAGGTCTTGGATCTCTTTCCGTACCGTTGAAAGGTAGTTAATTGAGAATAGGAATCCTTAAGAGTTGAGAGAATTCTTCCAGAGTGGGTACAAGCTGATAATCAGGAAAGGTGAAGCAATGGTGTAGAGGATCAAAGAAATGGAAAAGCACCTTCATCATATCTTCATCAGTGCTAGAGGTAACCAAGTTTACGAGGCGACCATGTATTTCGGTGAATGAAGAATTCTCAGGGACCCTTGATGCTAACTCTTTGAGTTGAGAAGGAATTCTTATGAGATTGACTTGAATAGTTTTCCTGCGGATGGAAGTCATGTCCTATAAAATAGAACAAAGATAAATCCCAAAAATCCTTGAAATGGTTAGTGATAATGCTTATGATGTTATGATGTTTATGATGTTATATACAAGTAAGCATATACACACAAGGAAAACAAGTCCTTAGGTTTAGGCTTGCATGGAGTCTTATAGGTAAGTACCCTCTTGAAGTTTAGTTGGCTCAAACCTGTCCAAGAAATAATAATCGGGTTCTAAGGGATCTCAATATCACTGATCTTTCTTATCGGGCATTGTTTCACCGCTAGCCTCTTTAATGGAGACCGAAATATCCTAAGAAGTCTGATCTCAATGAGTGTAGTATCGAGTATCAACCAACTTCAGACTGCACCAAAGCCGGTTATCTCACTACTTCCTAATGGCCAAAGTTGGTCAAGTAAAGGTTCTAAAGTCAGTTAGTGCTTCATGACACCAAACAGCGGCCCCGTATTCTCCTTGACTATTCAAGGGCTACCAGTACCTACAAATGTGTCACACTAACATAGCTATTTCTTAGACCATGTCGGTATACCCTGCATAGTTTCCACAATGTATTTCTACTTACCTATAAGGTATCCTAAATCTAGGTAGAGGATTAGAACAAGCCCAAATAAGGAACCAAAATGTAAAGCAAACAAATTAAACAATGAAATCAAGTAA